AAAGATTATGGAGCGATGGTCATGGAGCAGAGCATGCTGTTCACACTTTACCAGCACTTAATCATCCCGGTGATTAATTAAAGATTGGGGTTACTAACTGTCTCGAAGAGTCAGCTAGAGAAACTTGAGCGCATACAGCATTAAGCAATACGGAGAATCCTGGGTTGTACTAGAGACAGCCCGATTGTGTGCATGCGATACATCTTTGCATTGCCAACTAATGCAGATAGGCTAAAGGTGCTGCAGGCTAAGTCATACCTCAGAGTTGAAGTTTCTGTAGCTGTATGAAGCTTTGGGTGCAGGCAAGGGTCAGATGCTTAAAAGAGGAAAATCGTGGATGGCTTAAGCAAAAGACACAAAAAGGCAATTATCCATGCTGGAGAACATTGGGTGAGGAGAGGAGTGTGTCAGAGTATCAGAATAAAAGTCTTACCTGTGTAGGGTTATGATCACATTGGGCCGGGTGTGCAGAGAGTGACCAGCGGTGCTACGGAGGTTGAAGTCCAACAGTAGATTCATGACAATTCACGCTCAGGTAATCTGATTATCTATACAGATAGTTTGGTGTTGAGAGGAAAGAGAAGTGCCTGGTTGTTCGTAGCGAAAGCCAGTGGAAAATCTTTAGTACAAGACAGCATAGCAAATGACACCACAACATCTAGCATGAAAATGAAGGTGGAGGCGGTAACTTCAGCTCTCCGGTGGCTAGAGAACAAAATGCATACACATGTCGTAATTGTAACATTCAGAAAGCATGCTGAAAAAGGTGAAGACAGGGCTGCTTCGAGCAGAGTGGTTAACTTCACTGGAAAAGGTAACGGGTGGTGGGCATGCTTTGGATCTTTTATCCAGGCCGTGCCAGCATGGTGTGTAATGAACAGACATACTGGCTGGATCCGCACCACTGGGTGGTGAATTGATACATGAGAAAGCAGAAGTGTTCAAGGCCCTTTGGGAACAAGCAACGAAATCAGAAAAGAAAGATTATTATGGCCTGGAGAGAATTAGGCATCTGGGTGTAACTAGAGGGTCTGGCCGGCTCACTACACACAGAGGAAAGGCAAGACGGACTTTTAACCAGATTGTGACCGGTACCATCAGTATTGGAACTCTCCGCTGGCTGCTGAAGATGAGGACGGAGCATGCAAGAGAATGCCTCGAGTGCTGTGATGTCAATTCTTGACTCAACTCAACTCAACTCAATCAATGGGTTTTATTGTCTTTAGTCTCCGTCAGTTTTATGAATCTAAGAATACGCCAAAAGACATGTGTGACTAGTTGAAAGCAACACAGGCTGTGATTGTGATGATACTTATAGGACTGAAGTTGCTAAGCGAATAACTGTGCGAAATAGAGAATGTTGGCTGCGTATTCTTAGTAGTATAAAAACGACATAATGCGTAGTATTTTTCGCAGTTTGTTATTCTTTGGGCTATATTAATAACCGTCCACGTGTAAAACAGAGGGAAAACTAGCAGCCTTCCCTTACGAAAGGATGAATCCTTACGACCGAGTGCTTACGGTTCACAGAGGGGAAAGTAGATCATGATTGAGTGTAATGTTATGCTATTTATGTCCTAGATTTATGCAAACGTTTTATGGTAAAATGTGCATTTGTGTTTGCTAACGTGCTCTGTAATGCCGGGGTGCCAGGTTCAAATCCCACTTACAGGTTTCAGTTAATTTGACAGTGAAATCGAGAGTCGACCTAGACAACGAAAACTATTAGAGCGAGGGGCACTCATTAGCATAGGTGCGGAGGATAGAAAATACAGGGATATGATACTAGAGATGTATACACAGACAAGAAGACAACTTGCTATGTTGATGGACAACAGGTATTTAAAAAAAAAAAAGAATAATTATGTCCGTTTCTTTACAAATGTTTATTTTATTGTAATAAACAACATTACGACAATATATTTACTAATATATTTTTTTGAATACATAGATACAGAGAGGGTAATTATACACTTATGTAGGAAGATTTAAGTAATAAGGACATATTCTTGTAGTACACATTCCTCACTCAGTAAGGAGGCAAATATATTTGTACATATACACAACAAATCGTAAAACCCAATTTTTAATAATTTATAACATTAACAAAAATGGTGGGGTCTCAAATGATGTACAATATTGTACAACGACAGCGCAATATACAAAGAGCATTAATAAGTGGTAGCTTTAGACATTGTCGGGATTCACATTTTACAAATACATGCTTTGCAAAATATGTCTGTAATGGCCTGATGTGATTTTGGGAGGCAAAAAAGAGTGAATGGTGTTATATTTAACGCTGTGGTGCAAAATTGCAACACATGGGTAGTTTTGTAAATGGAAATAACATGTTAAAAAACAGAGATATCCTGGAAATAACTTTTTCATTGTAACTGGCCAATGGTTCGTTTGCAAGTCTGTCTCTTCCATGCAGAAAGGGAAGAAAAGAAGAAGAAGAAGAAGAAGAAGAAGAAGAAGAAGAAGAAGAAGAAGAAGAAGAAGAAGAAGAAGAAGAAGAAGAAGAAGAAGAAGAAGAAGAAGAAGAAGAAGAAGAAGAAGAAGAAGAAGAAGAAGAAGAGGAAGAAGAAAAAGAAGAAGAAGAAGAAGAAGAAGAAGAAGAAGAAGAAGAAGAAGAAGAAGAAGAAGAAGAAGAAGAAGAAGAAGAAGAAGAAGAAGAAGAAGAAGAAGAAAAAGAAAAAGAAAATAAGAAAAAAAAAAGAAGAAGAAGAAGAAGAAGAAGAAGAAGAAGAAGAAGAAGAAGAAGAAGAAGAAGAAGAAGAAGAAGAAGAAGAAGAAGAAGAATGAGTAAAAGAAAAAGAAGAAGAAGTAGAAGAAGAATGAGAAGAGAAGGGGTGGGAGAAAAAAACCCAAGTACTTAAATGTAGTACTGCAAAGCCCAGCAGTGGCCAATGATAGATAAACATAACCATGTTCTATTAACATTTCTGTGCATTCACTTAGGAAGAACAAACTCGTGTAAATAGCAAACTTGGTCAAACAAAACATATATTTAATAAGTACATCAGACTGTATGGAATTTGTAAATTCTTTTCTAAATTCATACTAAAATGACGCAAGCAAATTTTAAAATATTTTAAGTATTTAATAATCTGTAATAAAATAATTTTTAAATATATTTGTTTTGAAACAGTGTTGTCTGTTTTCAGACTTCATCCCCAGTGTCGTCATCAGTATTATCACCACTCTCTTTTTCTTCCTCTTCCTCTGATTCTTCTTCTTCTGGAATAACCCTTTTCCTCCCAATTAAACAGCAGTAAGTTGAAATGACTGACAAAGGAATCAGCAATAGTAGAATGGCGTAGCGTGGTAGAGTCCGTACGTCTTCTGCAAACAGATTCCAAGAAAAACTTTAAAGACAAGAAGCAATTCCACATGTCAACATGTCACTGCTTCTGCTTTAAGTCTGCTAACTATCTGCCTATCTAAAGGAAAGGTCAAGTCGGGAGATGTGAGCCAGCGTCATTGCACATGGTTATAAACAATAACTGCCATGCCACCAGTACGGACATATGATAAGAAACTGTCCGCCTGTGTCGCCGTTCACACGAAACTCCGTAGCTACAGCGACGTTCCTCCATCTACCCCAGAGTGGTAACTCTGGTATGCATTTCTTAGACGCTAGGTGAACCCCAGGAACCGTCCGGTTTCCAACACCGGCTGTGGGCTGCAGCGAGGCGTAGCTGGTTTTGAAAGCGAGTCTCCTATCGACTGCGCTATCGAAGCTCATAGCTGCCTATGTATGGTGACATTTTTCATTAATTTTTTCTCCCTTTCTGTTGTCGTTCTCCAAGTTGCCTTAAGAAAAAATTTCAGAGATATCAGATAGAATAGAATTTGCAATATATCCAAGCTAATAGAACAGATGTGTTGGTCGGATAACAAGACAGTCGGATATGCTGAAGTTCTGTAAACTGTTGCTACCCTATCCATATAATTGAAATAAATTCATTTTATACTAAATCCCGCTCTTTTCTTTTCAATAGTTTTTGACATTATATAAAAACAGGCTTGTACTTTATATATGTTTCTTTTTTTCCCATTCATTTGTTAATTTATGCTATTGTTGTTGTTTTTATTTGTGTAGTTGTTGTTTATACTATCCGTTTTCAACATTTTCCACGGAGAAAGGAAGTCCAGAAATTACTGTAATTCTACTTCCACTAGACTGGGTAGCAGTCTAACTTTTAATTTCTTCACGATTTCACCTCCAGTCACCAAATGTACTTTCCCGTCTCCTCACTCTGAAGCACTAGTTTTCGCCGCTACCCCAGAGTCCAGTCGCTTTATAGCACTTAGTTCGCCCTCCATAATTTATATCTTTATCACCTATTTCAAATCTTTAATTTCACAAATCAGCAAAAGACACCAAACGACTCAGTAGGCAACCAAGACCTGAGGTACTCAGAGTTGTGCTGCTGGTTTTAGGAGCAATGTTGGTTGTGGATAAGTCCAATGCAGGAATGATCGTCTCTAGCACAGTCCACAGAAAACGTAGATACACTATCGTTCTTATGCTGTTTTTTCCCCCCTGTCTCAGACATCTTTCGTCTTTAGTTTGCCCAGTTTGGATACTTCCAAGCTCAGATTTAGCCTCTTTCAAACTGCGAAAGTCCTTCTTTGGTTCTGTGCATCCAAACGTGTTGGTCTGCAGCTGATCTCTCTAAAGTATGGATGCCAATGTTGATATCTTTTAGTTCACGTTTGGGTAAGTCATATCATTGGCGTAGCCGTCCTGCAGGTCTTATTCCTATTACCAGCTCACTATACAAGAGATCCATTGGCATTTGACCGTTCCCCATACGAGAGATATGTCCAGACCTATGCAGGCGTGTTTACTTTAACGGATAAACAGAATAAATACATTCCAGTATGATAACAGGAGCCGATGTCATCAGCAAAGTTTGATGCGGCAAATGTAATACCTACTAGACAAAAAAGTTGACTTAACCACCGTGTTGGAATGAAGAGATTGAAAGGACATGGTTGAAAAAGAGACAGGCCATCAAAGTGTCGCAGAAGGATGGGAAGAGTAGGACGTCACAGTCTGAGCTCCAGAGTGACCTGAAAGATAAAGTCAGTAAGACAACGATGGCTTTCAAGCTGTGCGCAAGGCAGGTCAAGAATGAGAAATGGAATGATTATTGTAAGAAGGTGTGCTCTGAAGGGTCTCTTGCCACAAGTGGGCGACTTCATCGGACGATGAACCATCACATAACATCGGGGTATCCGAGAATTTTAAAGCACAGATCTGACATGGCAGAAATCTGTTGCAGACAAAAGACAGGACCTCCCTCAACTCAACGTGGAATAGGCTAACCAGTAAAATGAGGCAGCCAAACTGAGAGATGTCAACACTTTCAGAATTGTGTGAGAAGGTAGACCTAAGTGACGATGTCAGTATTACAAGCGAGACCATACTGACAATACTCAAGAAATCGCCAAACACTGCAATATACAATATACTGATATACTGCAGATGAAAGAGGGCGACATGACATACTTATCAGAAAAATTCAACATCAGTGTCAAAAGTGGTCAGATCAAAAAGGAGTGGTTACACAGCTCCCTACTACCATTACCAAAACCAAATAAAGACCTCACCAAGATCAGTGGCTACAGAATCATTACCACGCAGAACACAACGGGTAAGCTTCTGGAGACAATTTTAGCAAGTAGACTTACTTATGACTTGGACAAGCAGAACAGGCTACCATCCACACTTGGGGGATAGAGACGGAACAAAGAGACATGGCTCAATGCAGCAGCTCGCCTATGAAGTCTATGAAGGTTTTCAGATTAGAGAAGAGACATGTGCAGCTGCACTGGACTTAGAGGATGCATACAACAGAGTACCATTTAAATACTTGGTGCACATGCTTCTACAGCTGGAAGTATCTCCCTTAATCACCCGCTGTGTAGCCGTAGTACTGTTTCAGAGATAGAGGATACTCAGGTGTGGTTGTTTGTCCTTAGAACCGATAACCATCAGTCCAGGATTACCTCAAGGTCTCCGCTGTCTCCAGTTCTATTCAACCTGAACACAGTGCTGATAACTGAGCAGCAGTTACACGGTAGTGGCATGATTTTGTCATTTGCTGATGACGTCTTGGAATACCGAAATGGAAAAGATCATCAAGAGATTTCCAGTTCAATGCAGAGTAAACTTGATCGCTTCTCCCTCTGGTGTGCAGATTCTAACGCTGACGTCAACCCTTCAAAGGCCTTAGCAACGCAGTTCTGCTTGAACACGCATATTGTAAAGGCAGCCACCAGCAGTGGGAAAGAGCGACATAATTTTGACGGAAACGAACTTGATGACACACCTCGGAGTAAGGTTTCATGGCAGCTTGTGGTTCAAAGAGCATATTGACCATGTTATGACACAAGCAAGCAAAGGCCTGTCAGTAATAAGGGTCCTGGCCACCGTTAATATTGAGCAGAGGTGGCTACTGCTTCTGTTCCAGGGACTTGTTCTGTCCCCCATCGAATATGCTCTAGCCATTCTCACTGGCAGCCATGATCAGACTGATAGGCCTGAGAAGATGCACAACGAAGCAATGGAAGTTATTCTGGGGTGCACAAGAGACCCCTCTTGTGTAGCAATTAGGTATCTTCTTGACTTTCCTACCATGAATTAGAGGATTAAGATGTGGAGGGCTCGCGCATACCTCAAGATAGCTCCGATCTGAAGCATCCTTTGCACAACATATCCTTCAGAAAATAAAGGGTAATAGACTAAACAGGGCTGGGTTTTGTCCCAAATGAATATGTGCTCAAAAGAACCGGAATGGTTTTGTAGTGCAGAGGATGACATCGAGCAGGTCTGCAGTCTTACAGACATCCATCCTAGTGAGGAATAGATAATGGAGCCGAAAGCGAAGAATCCATCGTCCCCTGTGTCGTCACGCTTGATATGAGTAGTCGGGAGCTGTCGGAATGCATTATAACAGGACAGAAGAGTTCTTGGGCAATTACAGCTCGCTCTTTAGGCAGAACAGACCACGAAGCCAGAGGTGCCCTGTCCATGACTCCCAGATGCATGATGATAGAGGTGATGGCGGTGACACAAGCTTTCGTAGAGGTAGAATCATATGACTATTTTCGCGTGTATATGCGCTGAGTTATTATATGAGCATCATCTAGCGCGTTGAGACCGGCTGATCAGACAGACACTGTCAATACACTTAGAGAGATAGGACGTTCCGGGGATTTTGGAAGCAAAGTGTCCACATCACTGCTAAGAATACGAGGATAGGGAATCAAGGTCGGGACAACCACGCACGAAAAGCACACCGGACGCACACGAAGTCTTGTCAACCAGCATATAACTGGCACTAATACCCGCGCGACGCTGGTGAACATATTGAAGTAAGAATGTGTCACCATTGATGTGTCTGGAGTGAACAGAAGAGAATCCAACTCATAATTCACATCTCAGCTTCAACAGAAAGCACATTGTTTGCATCCCTGCTCTTTTAAGCATACATTCACTTGGGACAAAATCTAGCCACTGTCTACCAAGAATGTATCTCTTCAGCTTACGTGGAAGGTATTCAGTCTCTTTTGTTCTTGAGAAGCATCATGAGACCAAGTTTCACTGCAGTAAAGAAGCCGAATCAGGACGCAAGCTTCATAAACTAAAATTTTAGTCCTAATCGTAAGCTTTCTGTTTGACAATATATTTGCTGTGACACCAAACAACAAGTTCATAAAGTAAACAGGAACAGTGGCAAATATGCACGACACTGTTGAAATCCGATGCACAAGCGACTTAGTGAAGAAAGTTAGTTAGTTGAAGAAACAGAGTGGGCAGGGGGAGGGGTTAAAAAAAAAAGGGGGGGGGGGGGGGGATGCGGGCTTTGATGTCTCAATTTGTGTTATGCACACATTGCACACATATTGCAATTACTTGGCAAAGTATCTTATTTCTTTTTTGACTACTAAGAATTGTTTCAGACCAGACCGGATAAAAGGAAGTCTGGATAATCGCGATTCTGATAAACAAGGTCTAATGTTTTCTGTTTGTATGTGTTTTTTCCCATTCTACTTCTTTGTGTTTGTTACTTACTCTTTAAGTTAAGTACACCGCTGTATTACCATAACAAGCTTCCAGGCGGAATGGAATCGTGGTGTGAGAGGGGTCAATGATTTGGAGCACTGAGCATTGATAAACACCAGTTAAAGCAAGCAAAGGATTTTACATATGTTCGGTGCACTTTTTTTCAGAAGGCGGAAGAATAAAGAAATCCAGCAAGGGTGCAATAAAACCAACCGTTTTAGGCCAAATGTTACACATTTTGAAAAGCAAGTATGTGAATATAAACACTAAAAGATCACCGTACAACACGATATTCCTACCAACGCTATGCTATCAATGCCAAACATAGACATTCTCATCTTCAGAAGACAGAAGGAAAATATCGGGGACGATGAGAAATGTTTACGTACTGTGCTAGGTGAAACAAGTAAAGATCGATTTAGGAAAGGATGATATCAAGAGCAGAGTCGGCAGAGAACCAATACTGAACTTTATAGGTAGTCAGCAGATCAAATGGTTTGGCCATGTAACACGATTGGCATCAGACAGGGCCCCACAGAGAGCATTGTTTTACAGATACAACTAAAACAGAACCAGAGGTCAACCACGTCAACAATTGACCGCAGAAATATCAGAGGCACTGACAAGTACTTTATGCGAAGCGAGCAGACGGGCCCGTTGCAAAATCCCTTCCTGGTCTGTCGCGGCGAGGCGTTCCATGAGTATAGAAAAGAAAAAGAAGAAAAAAAAGAAGAAAAAAAAGAAGAAGAAAAAAAGGAAGAAAAAGAATAGGGTCCAGGGTTAATATCCAACTAGTGAACGTGTCCAGGATTAATATCCAACTAGTGAACGTGTGCAGGGTTAATATCCAACTAGTGAACGTGTCCAGGATTAATATCCAACTAGTGAACGTGTCCAGGATTAATATCCAACTAGTGAACGTGTCCAGGATTAATATCCAACTAGTGAACGTGTCCAGGGTTAATATCCAACTAGTGAACGTGTCCAGGGTTAATATCCAACTAGTGAACGTGTCCAGGGTTAAAATCCAACTAGTGAACGTGTCCAGGGTTAATATCCAACTAGTGAACGTGTCCAGGGTTAATATTCAACTAGTGAACGTGTCCAGGATTAATATCCAACTAGTGAACGTGTCCAGGAATAATATTCAACTAGTGAACGTGTCCAGGAATAATATCCAACTAGTGAACGTGTCCAGGATTAATGTCCAACTAGTGAACGTGTCCAGTATTAACATCCAACTAGTTAACGTGTCCAGGATTAATATCCAACTAGTGAACGTGTCCAGTATTAACATCGAACTAGTGAACGTGTCCAGTATTAACATCCAACTAGTGAACGTGTCCAGGGTTAATATCCAACTAGTGAACGTGTCCAGTATTAACATCCTACTAGTGAACGTGTCCAGGATTAATATTCAACTAGTGAACGTGTCCAGGGTTAATATTCAACTAGTGAACGTGTCCAGGGTTAATATCCAACTAGTGAACGTGTCCAGGGTTATATCCAACTAGTGAACGTGTCCAGGGTTAACATCCTACTAGTGAACGTGTCCAGGGTTAATATCCAACTAGTGAACGTGTCCAGGGTTAATATCCAACTAGTGAACGTGTCCAGGATTAATATCCAACTAGTGAACGTGTCCAGTATTAACATCGAACTAGTGAACGTGTCCAGTATTAACATCCAACTAGTGAACGTGTCCAGGGTTAATATCCAACTAGTGAACGTGTCCAGTATTAACATCCTACTAGTGAACGTGTCCAGGATTAATATTCAACTAGTGAACGTGTCCAGGGTTAATATTCAACTAGTGAACGTGTCCAGGGTTAATATCCAACTAGTGAACGTGTCCAGGGTTATATCCAACTAGTGAACGTGTCCAGGGTTAACATCCTACTAGTGAACGTGTCCAGGGTTAATATCCAACTAGTGAACGTGTCCAGGGTTAATATCCAACTAGTGAACGTGTCCAGGATTAATATCCAACTAGTGAACGTGTCCAGTATTAACATCCAACTAGTGAACGTGTCCAGTATTAACATCCAACTAGTGAACGTGTCCAGGGTTAATATCCAACTAGTGAACGTGTCCACGGTTAATAGCCAACTAGTGAACGTGTCCAGGGTTAATATCCAACTAGTGAACGTGTCCAGGGTTAATATCCAACTAGTGAACGTGTCCAGGGTTAATATCCAACTAGTGAACGTGTCCAGGATTAATGTCCAACTAGTGAACGTGTCCAGTATTAACATCCAACTAGTGAACGTGTCCAGGATTAATATCCAACTAGTGAACGTGTCCAGTATTAACATCCAACTAGTGAACGTGTCCAGTATTAACATCCAACTAGTGAACGTGTCCAGGGTTAATATCCAACTAGTGAACGTGTCCAGGGTTAATATCCAACTAGTGAACGTGTCCAGGGTTAATATCCAACTAGTGAACGTGTCCAGGGTTAATATTCAACTAGTGAACGTGTCCAGGATTAATGTCCAACTAGTGAACGTGTCCAGTATTAACATCCAACTAGTGAACGTGTCCAGGATTAATATCCAACTAGTGAACGTGTCCAGTATTAACATCCAACTAGTGAACGTGTCCAGTATTAACATCCAACTAGTGAACGTGTCCAGGGTTAATATCCAACTAGTGAACGTGTCCACGGTTAATATCCAACTAGTGAACGTGTCCAGGGTTAATATCCAACTAGTGAAAGTGTCCAGGGTTAATATCCAACTAGTGAACGTGTCCAGGGTTAATATCCAACAAGTGAACGTGTCCAGGGTTAATTTCCAACTAGTGAACGTGTCCAGGATTAATGTCCAACTAGTGAACGTGTCCAGTATTAACATCCAACTAGTGAACGTGTCCAGTATTAACATCCAACTAGTGAACGTGTCCAGGATTAATATCTAACTAGAGAACGTGTCCAGTATTAACATCCAACTAGTGAACGTGTCCAGTATTAACATCCAACTAGTAAACGTGTCCAGGATTAACATCCAACTAGTGAACGTGTCCAGGGTTAATATCCAACTAGTGAACGTGTCCAGGGTTAATATCCAAATAGTGAACGTGTCCAGGGTTAATATCCAACTAGTGAACGTGTCCAGGGTTAATATCCAACTAGTGAACGTGTCCAGGGTAAATATCCAACTAGTGAACGTGTCCAGTATTAATATCCAACTAGTGAACGTGTCCAGTATTAATATCCAACTAGTGAACGTGTCCAGGGTAAACATCCAACTAGTGAATGTGTCCAGGGTAAATATCCAACTAGTGAACGTGTCCAGTATTAATATCCAACTAGTGAACGTGTCCAGGATTAATATCCAACTAGTGAACGTGTCCAGGGTAAACATCCAACTAGTGAATGTGTCCAGGGTAAATATCCAACTAGTGAACGTGTCCAGGATTAATATCCAACTAGTGAACGTGTCCAGGGTAAACATCCAACTAGTGAATGTGTCCAGGGTAAATATCCAACTAGTGAACGTGTCCAGTATTAATATCCAACTAGTCAACGTGTCCAGGGTAAATATCCAACTAGTGAATGTGTCCAGTATTAATATCCAACTAGTGAACGTGTCCAGGGTAAATATACAACTAGTGAATGTGTCCAGGATTAATATCCAACTAGTGAACGTGTCCAGGGTTAAAATCCAAATAGTGAACGTGTCCAGGGTTAATATCCAACTAGTGAACGTGTCCAGGGTTAATATTCAACTAGTGAACGTGTCCAGGATTAATATCCAACTAGTGAACGTGTCCAGGAATAATATTCAACTAGTGAACGTGTCCAGGAATAATATCCAACTAGTGAACGTGTCCAGGGTAAACATCCAACTAGTGAATGTGTCCAGTATTAATATCCAACTAGTGAACGTGTCCAGTATTAATATCCAACTAGTGAACGTGTCCAGGGTAAATATCCAACTAGTGAACGTGTCCAGGGTTAATATCCAACTAGTGAACGTGTCCAGGATTAATATCCAACTAGTGAACGTGTCCAGTATTAACATCCAACTAGTGAACGTGTCCAGGGTTAATATCCAACTAGTGAACGTGTCCAGTATTAACATCCTACTAGTGAACGTGTCCAGGATTAATATTCAACTAGTGAACGTGTCCAGGGTTAATATTCAACTAGTGAACGTGTCCAGGGTTAATATCCAACTAGTGAACGTGTCCAGGGTTATATCCAACTAGTGAACGTGTCCAGGGTTAACATCCTACTAGTGAACGTGTCCAGGGTTAATATCCAACTAGTGAACGTGTCCAGGGTTAATATCCAACTAGTGAACGTGTCCAGGATTAATATCCAACTAGTGAACGTGTCCAGTATTAACATCCAACTAGTGAACGTGTCCAGTATTAACATCCAACTAGTGAACGTGTCCAGGGTTAATATCCAACTAGTGAACGTGTCCACGGTTAATAGCCAACTAGTGAACGTGTCCAGGGTTAATATCCAACTAGTGAACGTGTCCAGGGTTAATATCCAACTAGTGAACGTGTCCAGGGTTAATATCCAACTAGTGAACGTGTCCAGGATTAATGTCCAACTAGTGAACGTGTCCAGTATTAACATCCAACTAGTGAACGTGTCCAGGATTAATATCCAACTAGTGAACGTGTCCAGTATTAACATCCAACTAGTGAACGTGTCCAGTATTAACATCCAACTAGTGAACGTGTCCAGGGTTAATATCCAACTAGTGAACGTGTCCAGGGTTAATATCCAACTAGTGAACGTGTCCAGGGTTAATATCCAACTAGTGAACGTGTCCAGGGTTAATATTCAACTAGTGAACGTGTCCAGGATTAATGTCCAACTAGTGAACGTGTCCAGTATTAACATCCAACTAGTGAACGTGTCCAGGATTAATATCCAACTAGTGAACGTGTCCAGTATTAACATCCAACTAGTGAACGTGTCCAGTATTAACATCCAACTAGTGAACGTGTCCAGGGTTAATATCCAACTAGTGAACGTGTCCACGGTTAATATCCAACTAGTGAACGTGTCCAGGGTTAATATCCAACTAGTGAAAGTGTCCAGGGTTAATATCCAACTAGTGAACGTGTCCAGGGTTAATATCCAACAAGTGAACGTGTCCAGGGTTAATTTCCAACTAGTGAACGTGTCCAGGATTAATGTCCAACTAGTGAACGTGTCCAGTATTAACATCCAACTAGTGAACGTGTCCAGTATTAACATCCAACTAGTGAACGTGTCCAGGATTAATATCTAACTAGTGAACGTGTCCAGTATTAACATCCAACTAGTGAACGTGTCCAGTATTAACATCCAACTAGTAAACGTGTCCAGGATTAACATCCAACTAGTGAACGTGTCCAGGGTTAATATCCAACTAGTGAACGTGTCCAGGGTTAATATCCAAATAGTGAACGTGTCCAGGGTTAATATCCAACTAGTGAACGTGTCCAGGGTTAATATCCAACTAGTGAACGTGTCCAGGGTAAATATCCAACTAGTGAACGTGTCCAGTATTAATATCCAACTAGTGAACGTGTCCAGTATTAATATCCAACTAGTGAACGTGTCCAGGGTAAACATCCAACTAGTGAATGTGTCCAGGGTAAATATCCAACTAGTGAACGTGTCCAGTATTAATATCCAACTAGTGAACGTGTCCAGGATTAATATCCAACTAGTGAACGTGTCCAGGGTAAACATCCAACTAGTGAATGTGTCCAGGGTAAATATCCAACTAGTGAACGTGTCCAGGATTAATATCCAACTAGTGAACGTGTCCAGGGTAAACATCCAACTAGTGAATGTGTCCAGGGTAAATATCCAACTAGTGAACGTGTCCAGTATTAATATCCAACTAGTGAACGTGTCCAGGGTAAATATCCAACTAGTGAATGTGTCCAGTATTAATATCCAACTAGTGAACGTGTCCAGGGTAAATATACAACTAGTGAATGTGTCCAGGATTAATATCCAACTAGTGAACGTGTCCAGGGTTAAAATCCAAATAGTGAACGTGTCCAGGGTTAATATCCAACTAGTGAACGTGTCCAGGGTTAATATTCAACTAGTGAACGTGTCCAGGATTAATATCCAACTAGTGAACGTGTCAAGGAATAATATTCAACTAGTGAACGTGTCCAGGAATAATATCCAACTAGTGAACGTGTCCAGGGTAAACATCCAACTAGTGAATGTGTCCAGTATTAATATCCAACTAGTGAACGTGTCCAGTATTAATATCCAACTAGTGAACGTGTCCAGGGTAAATATCCAACTAGTGAACGTGTCCAGGGTTAATATCCAACTAGTGAACGTGTCCAGGATTAATATCCAACTAGTGAACGTGTCCATGATTAATATCCAACTAGTGAACGTGTCCAGGGTAAACATCCAACTAGTGAATGTGTCCAGGGTAAATATCCAACTAGTGAACGTGTCCAGTATTAATATCCAACTAGTGAACGTGTCCAGGGTAAATATCCAACTAGTGAATGTGTCCAGTATTAATATCCAACTAGTGAACGTGTCCAGGGTAAATATCCAACTAGTGAATGTGTCCAGGGTAAATATCCAACTAGTGAACGTGTCCAGTTTAACATCCAACTAGTGAACGTGTCCAGGGTAAATATCCAACTAGTGAACGTGTCCAGTATTAACATCCAACTAGTGAACGTGTCCAGGATTAATATCTAACTAGTGAACGTGTCCAGTATTAACATCCAACTAGTGAACGTGTCCAGTATTAACATCCAACTAGTAAACGTGTCCAGGATTAACATCCAACTAGTGAACGTGTCCAGGGTTAATATCCAACTAGTGAACGTGTCCAGGGTTAATATCCAAATAGTGAACGTGTCCAGGGTTAATATCCAACTAGTGAACGTGTCCAGGGTTAATATCCAACTAGTGAACGTGTCCAGGGTAAATATCCAACTAGTGAACGTGTCCAGTATTAATATCCAACTAGTGAACGTGTCCAGGATTAATATCCAACTAGTGAACGTGTCCAGGGTAAACATCCAACTAGTGAATGTGTCCAGGGTAAATATCCAACTAGTGAACGTGTCCAGGATTAATATCCAACTAGTGAACGTGTCCAGGGTAAACATCCAACTAGTGAATGTGTCCAGGGTAAATATCCAACTATTGAACGTGTCCAGTATTAATATCCAACTAGTGAACGTGTCCAGGGTAAATATCCAACTAGTGTATGTGTCCAGTATTAATATCCAACTAGTGAACGTGTCCAGGGTAAATATCCAACTAGTGAATGTGTCCAGGGTAAATATCCAACTAGTGAACGTGTCCAGTATTAATATCCAACTAGTGAACGTGTCCAGGATTAATATCCAACTAGTGAACGTGTCCAGGGTAAACATCCAACTAGTGAATGTGTCCAGGGTAAATATCCAACTAGTGAACGTGTCCAGGATTAATATCCAACTAGTGAACGTGTCCAGGGTAAACATCCAACTAGTGAATGTGTCCAGGGTAAATATCCAACTAGTGAACGTGTCCAGTATTAATATCCAACTAGTGAACGTGTCCAGGGTAAATATCCAACTAGTGAATGTGTCCAGTATTAATATCCAACTAGTGAACGTGTCCAGGGTAAATATCCAACTAGTGAATGTGTCCAGGATTAATATCCAACTAGTGAACGTGTCCAGGGTTAAAATCCAACTAGTGAACGTGTCCAGGGTTAATATCCAACTAGTGAACGTGTCCAGGGTTAATATTCAACTAGTGAACGTGTACAGGATTAATATCCAACTAGTGAACGTGTCCAGGAATAATATTCAACTAGTGAACGTGTCCAGGAATAATATCCAACTAGTGAACGTGTCCAGGGTAAACATCCAACTAGTGAATGTGTCCAGTATTAATATCCAACTAGTGAACGTGTCCAGTATTAATATCCAACTAGTGAACGTGTCCAGGGTAAATATCCAACTAGTGAACGTGTCCAGGGTTAATATCCAACTAGTGAACGTGTCCAGGATTAATATCCAACTAGTGAACGTGTCCAGGATTAATATCCAACTAGTGAACGTGTCCAGGGTAAACATCCAACTAGTGAATGTGTCCAGGGTAAATATCCAACTAGTGAACGTGTCCAGTATTAATATCCAACTAGTGAACGTGTCCAGGGTAAATATCCAACTAGTGAATGTGTCCAGTATTAATATCCAACTTGTGAACGTGTCCAGGGTAAATATCCAACTAGTGAATGTGTCCAGGGTAAATATCCAACTACTGAACGTGTCCAGTATTAACATCCAACTAGTGAACGTGTCCAGGGTAAATATCCAACTAGTGAACGTGTCCAGTATTAACATCCAACTAGTGAATGTGTCCAGGGTAAATATCCAACTAGTGAACGTGTCCAGTATTAACATCCAACTAGTGAACGTGTCCAGTATTAATATCCAACTAGTGAACGTGTCCAGGGTTAATATTCGACTAGTGAACGTGTCCAGGATTAATATCCAACTAGTGAACGTGTCCAGGGTTAACATCCAACTAGTGAACGTGTCCAGGGTTAATATCCAACTAGTCAACGTGTCCAGTGTTAATATCCAACTAGTGAACGTGTCCAGTGTTAATATCCAACTAGTGAACGTGTCCAGGGTTAATATCCAACTAGTGAACGTGTCCAGGATTAATGTCCAACTAGTGAACGTGTCCAGGATTAATGTCCAACTAGTGAACGTGTCCAGGGTTAATATCCAACTAGTGAACGTGTCCAGGGTTAATATCCAACTAGTGAACGTTTTAGTGCAAAGTAAAATCAAACGACCCTTAGTTCTGGGCATTAGTTCTTGTAAAGAGTCAGCAATTAACGGGCATTAGTTCTTGTAAAGAGTCAGCAATTAACGGTCATCCACTCAGCAATATGAGTAAACTATGTAACAGCTGATTTATTTCGCCTTCTATTTCGTAATCAGACATACGTATACATCATGGCTTTGATTACACATATTACAATACCTTTATCGCAGTAAGCTCCAACAAAGCCTTCAATGCACCCATAGCATTTATTTGATAACTTATGACAATGTCTGTCTTGACAGAATGGCGAACACCGCTTGAAACACAACTCTCCAGAATACGTCAGGGGACAGGCTGAGATAAAACAAAATTACTTCACAATGGAGTAGAGTGTAAATCAGTTGTACATCACATGTACATCAGTTGCACATCACATGTACATAAGTTGTGAGATGACAAATGACGTCATTGCACAACGGGCATTCCTATAAGGGCTGAGTCTTATAGATGGCGATATGTGCTGGCCTGAATTCCAGGTCTAATACTGAAGCGATTGCACAGGACAGAAAAAATTGACATATTAAATGCAATATATTTTTGACGTATAAACGGTTAGAAGGACAAGGATGATAATGAAAAACTTCACTCTAAATGTGAAAAGTACGGACATGTCTTGATGAATGATATCTGTTTATTACTAGCACCAAAAAATATCTAAACCAATCGCAACTGGATGTACGCTGTGATAAAAATCTGACCGTCCCCTCTACCATCCGAACATAACCTACACTAAACATTGTCTAGAATGGAGACATAACTGCTGCTTCAATCATTAAAACTACAGCCCATATGACTGGATAGAAACTGCAGAGGGCACATCCCTGACATAGTCGACTTGGTAGTCAAAACTATGATTGACGAAGACACTCATGGATAAGTTACACAGGGCAGGCACAATTCATGGACATTCACAGTGAGCTCAGGAAGTATCAACTATTGAGCAGATGAATGGTACCTTTGTTTTTGCAACTCGCAGCTTTACAATGGAAATGATGGCTATAACAAGAGCACTAGAATGCCTGGGGACTCATCAAGGGTTCACACATGTCTTCGCTCAACGAACAACAAAACTATAAAACATCGTTTTCAAAGGGTCACCAGTGCTAGCCTGTGAGCCTAATGTGACATCCTTTAAAAAATGCTTTTTGGCTCATTTCTGTTTTTTAATACGACAGTGATGAATTGTATAGCGAGGCCATGGAATCAAAGTCTAGGACGATTCTTAGTGTGACTTGGAAGGTTCACTCGCTTCAATAAAAGTCTTCCACAATTAAAACATGTCATTTCAGGACGTTGTTACTATCTGATGTATCTTATATGCTTCTTCCCAGACGATCGGATCTTTACCTATCTATCCGCAGACATTTTCTGCTGTATTTCTCTTTCGTTTTAAATTTTTGCCTGCCATGCAGCATGATTCCTTCTTCTTCCTTTTTCTTCGTCCTTCTTCTTCCTTCTTCTTCTTCCTTCGTGTTCTTCTTTCTTCATTTTCTCCTTTTTTCTTCCTTCTTCCTTCTTCTTCTTCTTCCTTCGTGTTCTTCTTTCTTCATTTTCTCCTTTTTTCTTCCTTCTTCCTTCTTCTTCTTCTTCTTTTTCTTCTTCTTCTTCTTCTTCTTCTTCTTCTTCTTCTTCTTCTTCTTCTTCTTCTTCTTCTTCTTCTTCTTCTTCTTCTTCTTCTTCTTCTTCTTCTTCTTCTTCTTTTTCTCTTTCTTCTTCTTCTTTTTCTTCTTCTTCTTCTTCTTCTTCTTTTTTCTTCTTCTTCTTCTTCTTCTTCTTCTTCTTCTTCTTCTTCTTCTTCTTCTTCTTCTTCTTCTTCTTCTTCTTCTTCTTCTTCTTCTTCTTCTTCTTCTTCTTCTTCTTCTTCTTCTTCTTCTTCTTCTTCTTCTTCTTCTTCTTCTTCTTCTTCTTCTTCTTCTTCTTCTTCTTCTTCTTCTTCTTCTTCTTCTTCTTCTTCTTCTTCTTCTTCTTCTTTCTGAACGTTCATCGGCTGTAAAGTATTGCTGAATGTCCTGGCTTCTCTTCTGCTCCTAGACTTCGGTCTTGATTCTGAATGTGAGTTCTGCGCGCACATTAGTTTTAGAGTTTTTTTTTTTTTTTAAATTTGTGAATGTAGACTTAAGTTGCTGCTATCTCCCAGGCAGATATACTCTGACTTAGAAGAAAACATTCCTAATTAGTGGTTCTTCTACGACATGCTTGTTAAGAAGCAGTGGGTCTATTATTTGTTCTCTAAAACAAAACCCGAACCTCACACGGAGATGACACGGACCTCACACGGAGATGACACGGACCTCACACGGAGATGAGACGGATCTCACACTGAAATGACACGGACCTCACACGGAGATGACACGGACCTCACACAGAGATGACACGGATCTCACACGGAGGTGACAGGGACCTCACACGGAGATGACACGGACCTCACACGGAGATGACACGGACCTCATACAAAGATGACACTGAGCTGAACGATCAGGCACAGTTTAAACCTCCTAGTATAAGCAGTGCCTAGTTAGACAAACAATGGAAGTGGACAGAAAAAAAGCTCATATTCCTTGTTGCTTTTTCTACGACCCACTTGTACAAAAGTCCCCTGTGAGATTTCCTAAGCAGGAGAAACACTTCCCCGTGATCATGTCACACCGGCTATTTGCACATGCCAACGAGCAGTTCTGGTCGCACCCCTCTCCAAAGAAGCCATTTTCGCAATCTGAAAAATCATTAAAAATTGTTTAGATATTCAATACTTTTTTTTAACTAGAAACCATGAGTCGCAAACACTTTGGCTCGGTACTATGGCTACCGTAACCCGTCTACCTTGATTCCACAATAAATACCGTAAATCTGGAAAATATTAGACTCTTCTGTGTATCCTCGAGCGTAAACTCACCCTGTCGCCTCGCAGTTGGTTTTTAACCAACTTCGCTGGCGCGCCGGGCTCTGTATTCATTGAGTATTTAACGACCAGGTTTACAAAGACACATCTTGCAGCATAAGGTGCATATTTGCGTGAATGTGTATCACCAAGTGAATGTTCAAGTATGTGTGTATGTATAAACACGTTAGATGTTCTTTTTAAGCTGTATGTCACATGTAAAAGCACCTTACTGATGTGTATGGCTTCAGCCCATAAAGCACATAAACCACTTATTAAAACTGACAATGATGATGCGGAAGATGTAAAATATTTTGAGTCTTTCCTTAGTACTGATAAACAGTTATGTTTTGTAATGTTATTTTATGTTATGTTATCACAATCGACGTCACTGCGTACTGGGCATTCCCGTGCGTGCTCAGTCATCCTATGCAGCAGCAACTCTAAAGTACTTCTACTGACTGTTCGCATGAGAAGCTGGTTATATTGTCTGCATTCTCGGTCTCAAAGACGGCATAGAAGTGCTTCACAATGCTTTACTCCCATGTCACACAATCGTGTTAGTGTCAGGGATTCCTCATTCTCCATTAGCCCAGTCCGTATAGCGTTGACGATATCTGCTCTGTGCACAAAGGAAGTCAGAAGGAGTCTTGCATTAGTTCTGTAGTTCTGACAGACCCGAACAAACAAAACCGAACGCAAAGAAGAAAAAGAAGAAGAAAAAACAAAGAATCTAGAGGCACAGTATCTGCAAACGAGCTTAGGTAAATAGTTTGTTATCACTTGTCTTTTACATGCGACTATATTGATGTGAATCAAGGACGAAGAAAAAAAAGTCGAAAGCCTAATCGATAATCAGACCTAAGCGAAGGTGGATACCAACACTAAACATGCGTTGACAATGGTAGCGCACTGGACTGTGGAATTAGCTAGAGCAAGAGAGACTTTCATTGTTCCGTATTAACAGCGACGTTCTGTAAGGAACCTGCTGACTGATGATGATGATTGATGGCTCAATGGACCACACAAGGACATCATTACACCAGTGACATTCACAAAGGTCCACGACCAGCATCTATTTCAGAAAGCAAGATGAGTTTCATCCTTAACTCGTAGACATCTGGATGAAAGTGTATCTACCCTTCCCCTGCTCGGCAAGCCTCGTCAAGAAGGTAAGGACCTGAAACATTAGACAGCCAATCGGCTGTGTCCTGTTAGCTATAGCACCGTCCAACAAAACTCAGGTTGCTGTACATTGTGATGTATGGCATTTCTGCGACGATAAAATTGTCAGATCTTAAATTTCCACAATGATTGTCATGAAATTGTGAATGTGGCCAGAGGTTACATTCAAAAATGGAGTGACAATGTCAGTGTGATGAGATGTGACATTTCTGTGATGATGTGCTTTGCATGGTCGTCACGCGTATACTGCGGCAAGCAGAAAGTCCGTGCGACAAGCAGAAAGTTTGTGTGGCAAGCAGAAAGTCCGTGCGGCAAGCAGAAAGTCCGTGCGACAAGCAGAAAGTTTGTGTTGCAAGCAGAAAGTCCGTGCGGCAAGCAGAAAGTCCGTGCGACAAGCAGAAAGTTTGTGTGGCAAGCAGAAAGTCCGTGCGGCAAGCAGAAAGTCCGTGCGACAAGCGACCGCACTGAGATACTTGGGTCTGGTCGAGTAAGCGAGGGAAAGCCCGAGCTGGACTCGTGGTCAGTTGCTTCCCAGAAGTCGTAGAAGACGGTTGTGTTAATAGAAGATGTAGTTCTAGTGTCGTGAGAATGATCAGGGTTATAAGCGATGGAAGTGTAAAGAATTCTTAGAGCATATTGAATACATGCAACATAATTAACTGAAAGCATATACAAGAAAACTGAGCGGCGTTTGTGTTATCTGTCCTAGACAGTAGAAGCAGGGTAAGAAGCAGCAATATTACAAGTGACCCAGCTATAATACAGGAGCAAGCTTGGCTATCTCCCGAATAACGGTCCCAAATTATCGAGGCCTCAGTCACGTGTCAGTTGTGTACTTCCGGGGACTATACCACCGTCGCCGAATTCCGCCACCGCCGAGGGTATCCCACACGCTGCTCACGAGGAGGAGATTGGGGCTGTACTAGATGGCTAAGACTCACAAGCAAAAAAAAAAAAA